CAAACGTAAAGTAAGTACGACGACGACTACTACTTACGTTACGTACCTACCCTACCGTACGGTAAGGTAGTTAGTAGTAGTAGTAGTTTTAGTTTACGTTACGTACTATATATATATATATATATATATATATATAATCTAGTTCCAACAATGCATTTTTTGGATCAAGAAAATGCAACCCAGTTATATTTAACAAAGTTCTTGCTAAAATAATAATAAATGAGAGACTCGAGTGATTATGGGGTTTTCAGACAAAATTGCCGACTTCCCAATCCAGATCGACTCAAGCAATTCCCGATTCTAACTGACGATTTTTGAATCACTGGCTAAGCCAATTCTCTTTCCATGGCCAGGAATTCTACAAGAGTATTTTCGAACCAGCCGAAAAGAAGGACAAGAAGGAAAGGCTGAAGGAGTTCATCAGAGCTCATCTCAATGTTACAAGAGCATCTAGCAAGTCAAATTACCTTATTGGATTAAGTGTTCCCTATCTCTCTCTGCTTGGAAAGAGGGCAGCCCAAAAGGTGCCACAAGTGAGCATGGTATCTGTAGTGCCAGATGTGGTTTTTGTGCCCTTTGCCACTCTCTTAGCCTTGGTGGGTGCAAAGTTCTATGAGCAAACTGGAGGTGGGGTTGATAATTTTCTACTCCCTTCTGGCCCCAAAAGCTAAAGCACCAATCCATCTACATGAGAGAGAAAATACATCTATAGGAGAGAGAGAGAGAGAGAGAGAGATAGAGTTGAATAACAAGTAAATTGCTCAGTTTCATAAGTTGGCTATAAAGTGAAGTGTCACAAAGTAAATTGATTTGTTTCATGAGTTTGGCAGTAAAGTAGGGTGTGGAATTGCTGAGATATGGGGAATATGATGAGGTGCTTGCTCACCATAAATAATTTGAACATCCGAATCCAAGAGGGTTTACAATGGTGTGTTTTTAATGTTGTTTGGTGTTCAATTACTTAAGAATCATTGTTTAGAACTTTGGCTAAGTTGATTATTTGTGATGGATTCTAGTGTGAAAATTGCGATAAAAATTCTCACTCGAGAAAAATCAAGGATTTTAAAAAAATCGTTGGTCTTGATTTAGAATCGCTCGAGTTGATTATCAGCTAGGGAATCCGGTTTTAGGAACCCCATAATCGCCCCGATTCTCCAATTTCAGCTTATTTTTCCAAAAAAATTCTTTGTTAATACCATTAAAAAAAAGAAAAAAAAAAAGGTTAATTACTAGCCTGATCTGCTTGGCTATCGCTCGAGTCTGACCGATCAGATTAGATTTGGAACCCTCGCAAGTTTGACCACAACTCTTATTTTTGAGGGTGTGGTTTATATAAGGTTCCAACTTTAAACAATCAAATTAAGACGCACCTCCAATTTTTATTATAAATATAATTTTAGTGTACAAAATGCTTAGAATGGCTTGAGAATCTATTTTCTTCTCTAAATATAAAATATTAAACTCTAAAAATGGTTCAAATCAAGTAGATTTATAAACATTTGAAAATCTTGAAAATAGACGGTCTAGATAATTTGTTGCAAGATAAACTATTTTTAGGACTCGAAATCCTTGTTTTCTTTTCATATTCATACGTCTCGATGTTGAGATGATCAATTAGAGGGTTTTCCAACATCAAAACAACCTTCTATGTTGGAGTTTTTAGTTGCCCCTTAATTCTACATTTTAAGGTTACAACCTAATATAAACTTTTTCCTGTTTTTTAAACATTAATAGAAATGTGCAGTGTGACATAAGATGGGTATCTTCAATAGTGTATATCTATTGTTTGTACTTTAGGATGGGTCTAAAGCTAGGAAAAATTATCAAAATACACACAAGAGATTAACTATTTAACATTGGGAAAGTATAGAATGAGACCATTTAGCTTTATACAAGGTGATCACATTAATCTTGACCATGGGATGTAAAATTGGGTGGCTGCAATTATTCCATTGGCACCGCTCTCGAAAGAAATGTTTTCGAAGTTTGTGACACATCCAAACTATCAAATTTCACATCGGATGGTTGTAAGTAATTGTGACCACCTTATATCAAAGGTAAATAGTCTCATTATATACAATCCCATTAACATTTTACCTATATATTTTTATTTAATTCCGTAATACCTATCATGAGTTGAAATAGTTGAAAAAGAACAAAGTGTTGATTTTAAAAAAATCTAAGTGTATTTTGATAAATTTTCCTTGTTGCGAAAACAATCTATCTAAAACAAAAATATGATAATTACATCTATCTCCATGTCATATATATAGATACATTCGTGGGTTCGAGAGAGAGAATGTGCTGTGTGTTTTTTAAACTAATGTCTCAGACTCCAACTTTATTGAAAAATAGAAGAAAAATATTTCAATAAAATCCATGACATGGTTAAATAAATAATTATACTATAAAATGGTTACTTTTACAAATTATTTCATTATATGTACCTCCTCAAGAATACGAATACACTTGTTTTGTAACTTTTGAACAGGTGAATGTAATTGGGCAATTTGACTCAGTTATGTCACTTGAGTTAAATGATATAAATATTAGTAGATCTCATACCAAGTACATGTTTTTACTATAAAATTTTGTTGGAGATCAAAACATGAAACCAGTGTAGATCTTGTGATTTTTTTAAAAACATTAGGGATATTTTAATAATTTGCTCCCACTTTAAGTCACCCCAACAAAATAAAAATTTAAAAATAAAATAAAATAAAAAATGTTAATATCGTTGCTTGCTCCATATTATAAATCCAAAACAATTTTTTTAATAAATTACCCAATTTTTAAAACACTTTCAACAAATTAGTTCATAGAATGTTAAGTGAAGGGCACATATGCTCTGCTTCTGGAGGAGCATACTACAAATTTACTCCCTTGGACATAAAAGTAACTTGGGAATGTTTTTCTTTTTTTTGGCACTGAATTTTGGGAATCGCCTAAAATACACTGGATTATTATATTCAAAAGAATAAATTTGAATTTTTTAGTTCTCAAGCAAAAAATGTTAAAAAACATTATAAAAATTATTATTAATAATAAATGTATATCTAAAGTATGATTAAGCAAAACCCTTCAAAAAAAAATAGCTTTAAAAAAAAAAACAACTTATAAGTGGTGATAGTTTTCAAATAATTTAAAAAAATATAAAAATATAAAAATAAGTATTTGCCAAAATGATAAAAATATAAAAACTCGGCCTGATAGAAACTATTCGGCCAATTTTGCGAACACTGACTTTAATAGAGAGAAATAGAGAGGGGGGAGTGAATCAGAGAGAGAAAGAGAGACTCGGGAGAGAAACCATGTGACCAAATGAGAGAGAGAAGAGACTCAAGTGACCAAAATAGAGAGAGAGACAGAGGGGCAACGCACCTCAACTTTTAACATCTCTCGTGGTTCAAGTGTTGCTATGTCTATGCAGGTACCAATAATTTGTTGCCACCTCACCATGTTTCTTGTTGCTTTTATCTCTGTCTCACGTGTCATGGTCTGCTTCCACAATTTGTAAACTCACATCCTACGTCCTTTCACTCTAAAAAATAAAGAAAATTGTTTCATGCGGGTTGGATCGTATTTCTACAATATGAAGTACAGATGTATAAAGCATCCGTATTAAAGATAGATGCAGATAGGTAGTTCATCTAAAAACATGTGTAACTAATCATGCGGATATTTTTTTAATATAATTATTATTTTTAGTTTTTAATTTTTTTTTTTTCATATTCATGACCTCCATAAAAGATTATATATTTTCTAAAAATTAAGATCAAATTATATTCAAAAAATATATTTAGTGCAAAGCTCGCATTTTCTACAATATGTGAGTTGGTGACACCATGTCCTAAATATAATATGTGGCAAATAATAATTAAAATTAATCGTTCACATCTAATCTCACAACATTATTATTATTAAAAAAAATATTAAATAAGGGGTTGAAATCATTCATAACATTTCAAAGAGATCAAAAGATTACAAATTCAGATAAGGATACATGTTTTTAAGTTTCTACATCAATTTGGTGCACTCTCAAAAAGCTATAAAAAAATTCTTAAATTGTCCCTGTATGATGCTCAGAGGCCTAATCAATTAAGGGTATTTTGATAATTTTACCCAAAACAAGCCTTAATCAAAGGATAATCAGGATAAAATTACCAAAGTACTTTGATTATCCTAGCTTGCAACACCGAACAAGGGCTATTTGAGAATTTTTCAAGTTTATTTAAACTGTACTTGATTGGTATAGTGTATACAACGATACCATTTACTTTTAGTGCAAGAAGGTCACAATTACTTATAACTATATGATGTGAAATCTGATTGTATAGTGTATACAACGAGACCATTTACTTTTAGTGCAAGAAGATCACAATTACTTATAACTATATGATGTGAAATCGGATAGCTAGAGTATGTCATAAAATTCGAAAAAATTTCTTTTGAACTTTGAGTTTGGTCAAAAGAATAAATATAACCACCTAACTTCACATCTAATGGTCAAGATTAATTGTTAGCACCTTGTGCCAAAGGTAAATGATCTCATTGTATACTTTTGCAATTTAAAAACAAGCCCTTATATGCAATTTGTAATATTTTAGTGATATTTTAATGACTTTCAACCCCTTCTTTTTATATTTTTCATTGCTACTATTACACTTTCGTAATATTTTAATTAGTTTCAACCCTTTTTTTATATATTTTTCATTACTACTGTTATTATTTTTATGGATACGATCTCTATGAATCAAAAACTCACTTGTAGAAATGAGGGTTCCTTAATAATTTATTTTTAAAATAAAATTTAATCCTAATTTTTTGGAAATATATAATCTTTAACATGTAGATTATTATTATGTAAGCATAAATAAATTTAAAAAACCAGAAATTATATTATTTGGAGAAAATATTTGAACCGTTGATTTTACTTTTCCTTTTATTTATGGTATACATCTACACTTTCTTTGGTGGATAGTGTAGATCTCCAGGCCCACATAGTAACACGTGCGGGCTTGGATGCACCAAACAATTATAGAAAACCGGGTCCTTATAGAATTGTATGCACAAAAACCATTTACTTATCATACAAGTAGGTAATTGTACACTTGTCCATCAAAATTTAAATCGGATGGTTGTAAAAGTGTCACTGACTTTACTCAAAATTCCAAACTATTGCGCCTGCTCCTACTATTGTTACTACTATTGCTATAAATCCAATTTTTAGGGATTCATAATCTAAGCCATATGATCATGAATATAAAAAAAATAAAATTTTGAAAATTTTAAACATGCCCTTTTATGGGAATTATTTTGCATTGTCTATGCAGTCTTTTTTTGGACGTTGAGGCTTTTGCACCCACTCACTCATATAAAACTTGCCCAACCATTTGAAAGCATAAAATATTGCAATTAAAAATGTATTTTTAAAAAATTTAAAAATAAAATTAATTTATAAAAAATAAAATTTCTTATAAAACCCTAATTCGTCGTATTATTTCATAGTAGACTCTTCTTCCGTTTTTCTTTCAAACGGCATAAGATAACCCCTAAAGATTTCACCATGCCCCATCATCTTTTATCTCTATTTTATTGACTTTTATTCATAAAAAATAGTCTTAATAAAAAATTTTATACCATTTCAACCGAAAAAATTATTTAATAAGTGGAAAGAAAAAAAGATGGTTAAAAACGTGTTTGGGATGAAATGGATTAAAAAAAAATTATTGGGACTAATTTTATGGTAAAAAGTCAATAAAAAAGGGAGATAAGAGAAGAGGGGGTACAATGAAATCCTTAAAGATTTCTTTATA